GGGGGGGGGGGGGGTTATAGGTGGCAGGAAATGACTGCTCGGACGTTTGGAAACACACAACGACTGGCCAGGAGGGCTGGAATGCACAGAGCTGTTGATAGGTTAGGCTGCTGCTGAGCCACTGTGTTGGTGTGTCTACTACAAAATGTGTGGATTCATCAGTGGCATACACACAGACCATTCTAAATCCTTGGGTTTTGAGTAAGCGTATATTTTATAGGCTCCTTTTTTATTGCTTCTAAACTGCTTATATCACCCGGTCTACGTTGTTCACTCAGCGCTAAAACCACATGGACGCTTTAGAAGCAGTGCAGACCATTATCAGACCAACAGCCTATACTGCTAATATTTGTACACAAAACAAACGCATGCATTCCAACACAGTCCACTATTCACTGATTCCTCTCCGCTTTTTTTCCCCTCCTGAAATCCAGTCTGGCAGTGGGCCCGAGTCTCTGGGGCCCATCTGACAGTAAGCGTCCTTGTTTCTCTCCAGCGGAGGTCCTGGACTCCTTCTCGATTCCTCCCCATTGCTCAACAATCTGACCTTTATTTGCTTTACGGCAGAGTTACTGTAAAAACTGCCCTCGTTTCAGAAACCTTCAAACGGGATCAGCAGCACAAGTTGAGCTGATTCGCTCTGGAAAAAAAAAAAAAAAAAAAAAAAAAAAAAAAAAAAAAAAAAAAGGGAAAATCCTCTGCAGATAATTTCATCGCAAAGTATTTCAAGGATTAAATGATTTTTGAAAAAATGGCTAGAAAATCACTTTTCAAACTTCCACTCACACTTTTAAGACCCCTCAAGTGTTCCCCGTCCGTTACAGTACTTCAATTACTCTTTCCATTCTCTTTGTGTTCTAACACTTCAAACTGTTCTGCTTCAAACGCTAGCACACACTGGTGGAATCTGGGACCAAGGGCGGAAAAAGGTTATCCCTCCTCCGGAAAATCCTACTGATAGGCTAGACTGATCCCATAACGCAGCCCAGGTCTGCTTGATTATAGAGTCGGGGCTTCGTGATAAATCACTGCACGCTTTCAAAGAGAGCTATGTATAGTATGTAATGTTGAATGTAGGCCAGAGAGTGCGAGCATGTCACCTGGGAGACAGGACCGTAGAGGTAGGACCGTGTACACGGTGGAAATGAGTGAGTGATTAACAGAGAGAGAGAGAGAGAATACTCGTCGTGGTATGCCGGGAAGGCTTTGTGTGAGAGACTGGGTGTGTCCCTCCCCTTGCTCCAGAAATCAAAGGCCCCTCACAACAAAGTCGACAAAGTTAGCCCGTGGCCAAGGTTGCTTTCGTGAAGTAAGAAGCCTATACCTTCGCCAGATGCCACACAATAGACTCCTTCAACAGATCACTGTTCACACTCTGACACCAAATGTGTGTAACCGAACCCCGGCCTTCAGGAATGCCAGGACGCTAAACGCATCTCTACAGATATTGAGTTCACGGCCGAGGAGAAAGGCAGGACCACACTCGGTCTAAAAAGACATGTTACAAAAACAAGGCCAGTGACACAAGTCAAAATTTGAATTGTCCCTAACTTTGTAGGAATATATTTATTATAATGATACTGCAGTTATTGTGCATATGTTTACACTTTTTTCATATGAGGCTAAAAACTTTAGTGGAAACGGTGTCTGAACATGAAGTGTCTGGGTGGGCGTTTTCCATGGCAACTGTTGAATGACATTTGAGTGCCGGCGTAACTAGGAAACGCTCGGTCAACTTTTGTGGTGCAAGTTCTAGCCCTGCCACCATACAAACAATGATATAAAACATTCTCTCCCCCCCCCCCCCCCCCACTCTCAACAAGCACACATCGCATTTGTTGCATACCATTAGCGATGTAAGAGATTTGTCCCTTTACAACAGTGAATATTTAAAGGACCCATCATGTTCGTAGTCTACATGCAAAGAGGAAGGTAGCAAGCTAGGCGAAATAGCTCACCGACTAGCCAGCTAGGCGAAATAGCTCACCGACTAGCGAGCTAGGGGAAATAGCTCACCGACTAGCCAGCTAGGCGAAATAGCTCACCGACTAGCCAGCTAGGCGAAATAGCTCACCGACTAGCAAGCTAGGCGAAATAGCTCACCGACTAGCAAGCTAGGCGAAATAGCTCACAGACTAGCAAGCTAGGCGAAATAGCTCACCGACTAGCAAGCTAGGCGAAATAGCTCACCGACTAGCAAGCTAGGCGAAATAGCTCACCGACTAGCAAGCTAGGCGAAATAGCTCACTGACTAGCCAGCTAAGCAAATTAGCTCACTGACTAGCCAGCTTCTGAAGGCTAATGGACACTGACATTTATAGACTACAGCCACTCACAGCACGACACATTTAAATTATTTTGATATGATATTCATTGACGTTAAATGTGTGAATTGAATTCTCATTTTATTTACAAGCAGATGAAGCTTCCTTTTTCTATCATAGGCAAATATAATTATAACTCTTCATGGAAACCCAGACTAATGAGATTCCTTAAAATGTGGGTCAACAGCTGTCAAACCACTTAACATAAAGTTTCCCCCTTAAAGCACTTTAAGTTTTGGAAAAGCAACTTATTCCAAACTGTATGACAGTATCACAGATATGTTCGGTTTCGGTGTGTTCCAGTTCATCGTTGAAGATCAAACCTCATATATTCGGAATGTTGTTTTTTGGGACAACCACGAGAATTTGAACAATGTTTAGTGTTAAGCCAAATATTTGCCAATATCACAACCAAAAGGCCGGATCATATCTGTTGGGTCTTTAAATTAAGAATTGATTAAGAAAAGTCATAACCAAACAATACATACAATATGTTTAAATTAAAATATTTAAAACATATGAATCTGGAGATTCATATTTTACAGACTACTGTTTTATAAATAAATAAGTGAATTAGTAAACAAAAACTCTATTGGCAGTAAACACGATTGCTTGGTTAATCCCCAACACAGCCAATATTAGCATGATGATGACTCACCTCCATATTAGTGGCTGCGACATCTTGGTCGTAGTGCTCCATCATGTTGGGAAAGAAGGTCATGTTGTAGGGCATCCCCAAGCACCGATGAACTTTGATGGGCTCGCAGGTAAACAGGCTGTGGCCACTGCAGCTTCCCACCCATATCAGGGCCAGGCACGCCCACAGTGTTCCTGGCATCTGCATTGTGGCGGCTGATTGGAAGTGTATGTGAGAGTATTTGTGTGTGTGTGTGTGTGTGTAAATTAGAACAGGTTTCTTTTTGGCTCAGTGGGAGGATATTTTGGCCCAAATGTTGAATTCCACTGGCTCACACTGTCATCCACATTTCACTTCTCCTGGGGTCATCACAGTGGAGCCGAAGGGCAGAGCAGCAGGTAAAACTTTCCCATCATTGGTCAGCATGTCACAGATAAGAATCCCACATCCCTGAAAATAAAGTGTTCATATTAAAATGGAGTAACACTTTCAGCTCCACAATTACTAAAACTTATCTTGAGAGGCTCGTTTTGGACAACAAATCATGAAGATTTGTCTTCAGGAACCTCAGCTGAGAAGATGTTTGTAAGTGGTTATTACTGCATTTACTACAGAATTACAGACCAAAGCCCAATCATCAAAGCAGTGGATCGCAGAACCTCTCATTGTGCTCATCAGGATCTAAAGGATCAAATTCAGCTAAGCAAATTCAAAATAAAATGAATAAAGCATTTTTTCGGGGGAACCTCCACAGGTCCCGTGAGGTCCTCCGGCTCCAGTTTGAGACTGTTTGGAGACAAATAAGTCAAATGCAATTAGGGGGAATAAAATCCAGTCAATCCATCTGCTCACTTTAAATGCATGTATTTACACTGGGTGGGGAATGCTAACGAGCCAAGCTGATTCAGTGGTATGAGTCTCAGCTTGTTGATGCACATTCAACTGTATCACTGTTTCACATACACACACACCAGACTTAAAAAAAAAAAAAAAAAAAAAAAAAAAAAAACCTCTTGAAAGCCTGACAGAATGTAATACTTTTCTAGTGAATACAGAAGCAAAGGTTTGGGTTTTCCTTGGGGCCCACACATGACTTGTGTGAGATGAGCTGTTTGTGTGTGTGCTTGGCTTCCTGAGGATTATCACATGCTGATAATATCAATGGTGGTAAGAGTTTATCTAATATTACCACATCACTGTTTATGCTAAGAAACCACCTTCAACATTGCTTATTGTTTAGGCATGTGCGTCGGTTGATTATTAGCATAAACATGTCGGTTAGCACATTAGCAACGATTAAAGAGACAGTCAAAATTAGCAAAGCAGATAGTTGACACGGTCCACCAGCAGCAGCACTACACGTAACAAGCACACATGTACAGGTTAGTCAAATAAAATGAGTACGTTGCACAGGACTTAGCATATCCCAAAAAGCTAACTTCTTTTAAGAGTATGTCAGTCCATCGCGGGCAGGAAAGACGTGTTTTCCCGAAAATTAGACGCCAAAGGCGGTGAGAAAGGACAGTAAACATCCCTGCCTCTGCCGAAATCAACTTCTGTACAAGAAAGTAAACAGAACTATGAGGGTAAAACACGAGCACTTACCCCCCTTACCGCCCAGGAGTTCGTATACCAACCGACTACATGAAGGCTCGTTGGTGCACTTCTGTGGATAGTGTGGTAGCGTGTTTCCTGCGACAGGCTCCAGCACAGTCCCTCTGTCTTTTCTTGTCCCGGGCTGCTGTGAAATGAAGCTGCCTTCATGGTGCGTTTGGAATTTCGTAATGAACCGGTGTGAGCACCCAGACATGTGTGTCTAACATGTCATGCATCAAAACGCTCTGGATGGAAAACATTGTGTGTGAAATAAAACATTTCGTTAGTTCTCAATCATTGCAAAGTGGGCGCGTGAATACACCGGCTGCAGCAGGAATGGGGTTTTGACGGGAGCACTTGAACGCTGCACGTGAGCAGATGGGCATATGAAGGATGGGACGCTGAGAGGCCAAATGTCAGGGAGACAAACTGAGGAATTTACTAAATTTAAATTTGCGGCGAAATGTAAGAGCAGTTTGTTTAAGAAAGTCAACTTGTGTAATAATCAAGACAGTATTTATTTTTTTGTATTCAATTTGGTGGATTTCTTTTTTCAACATCCATATAAACAGAAGGCGCTGTTGCTTGTTGAGGATTAGTGGGTGAGGATGCTGTAGTTTTGCTAAATACAGCTGGATGGAAAATATTTATAAATATAATTCCAGAAAGAACTACTACTCAGTATACAGATCATTAAGAAATACAACCACACAATGTGATACAGGCCATGAAATTATAAATAGGCTATGTTAGGTATTAAATAGATAACATCTCACAGATTAAATGTGAAGTATCCAGGACTATGTGGATATAAAACCCCCTAATGTGCATGGAGATAACAATAAAACGCTAGTGCATCATTATAGGCTTTGCTTTCTCATAAGACATTAGTGGAGCAGCCACTAATTACAGTCACATCAAAGAGACTATTCCTTATTTACTGTAGGAGATCCTACGAGGACCCCTGGTGTCCCCTGCAGGCGCAGAACACCCTGTAAACATACAGGCATGCCGTGTCCCAATTATCCACCCGGGGGCGCTGCATCCCCCTCTATGTCCACGTTCATGTGACTGCCGCGTAGAGGCGGGGTTACAATGTAACAATTTAGGTGATACCGTGTAACCAATAAAGTGTCCGCGATAACTGAGCGCATCTGCTCGCCTCTGCGCCCGTCTCTCCCCTCGCCCTGGATGTAAAAAGAGACCAACACCGACCTCGGACATTAGATGACATTTGTTACGGAGGCGCCGCCAGAGGGGGACGGGACTGGATCATAACACATTCATATGAGGTGCGTAAGCTTGTGGCACATTAAGACAGGAGAGGGAGAGAGAGAGAGAGTCGAATACAGTAAATTCCTGCCAATCGGCAAGGAGCTCGTTATAGATCTTGGTGCGGATTGTCTGCGTGCGCCAAGTGATGGATGCAACAGGATTATTGTGATTATTCTGAAGGTTGCTCTCCGTCCCCACAGTTTGTGGACCGAGGCGCTGGCCTGTTGCTAGGAGACCTTTTGACAGCTGGGGGATCTTTTTGGAAAGTGACAGTTTGGGTAAATGCATTAATGGTGTCTGCTTCTCAGGCAACCCAAACCTTCCCTCCTCTTGCACCCCCCTCCCCCAGAGAGTCTAGTTCGTTTTGCGCTGTTAGTGGATAAATGCCTCGTGTGCGTAAATAGACATTTAGCTCTGTGGTGGTTTCCAGTCAGCAGATTACAGTGTTTTAGCAGGCAACAATGGTCCACTTGTTGTGATTATCAGATCCTACAGATATCCACATTCATGGATCATTTTTATCTTTTCTGGGGCCAAAATGATGTCATTTACTCAGTTTGTATCAAATAGAAATTCAAAAGAAGCTGAATATAATGGCATTTGCAATTCATAAGCTGCCTATTGGGGATATTTGTGGAGACAAAGATAGAGAGGGAGATCACCAACGAGAAACAGAGAGACATGGCACATTAGTCCTGATTTGCACTAATGGTGTGCTTCTCAGATTTGATTGCGAGCACATTTGCTTTATTTCCCTATAAGAACCACACCATCAAAAACCTTCTGCAGGCAAAGCTATGAAACATGTGCGGCATGTGTGTTTTGAGGGGTTTGGACTCAGGACCTTAAGGGCCTTCTGTCCCTCATCAGTCAGTAGCAGTCGCCTGCAGCCGTCAGTCTGAAGGTCACTCGAGAACAGATCGATAACTAGATCTCGCCTGGGACTCTACACTCAAGAGCAGCCAGTTGTACACTTAAGGCGAATGACATACATACATACGCAGGCTTCCTCATATAAAACAGCCACAATAGAGCACCAGGGGCGCCTCATTGTATGCCATGAGTGAGTAGTATTCCAATCAGAGTGTCCAGAGCAGCTCGGATGTCGGCGCATCGGTGCCGACCTCTGCTTCCATCCTGAGCTTCTGGGTATTATCTCGCAGGAGACTTGAGGGATATCAGATGCAGGTGTGTAGCACATTATGTCAAGGTTGTAGCTACACCAGAGGGACTCTGTGTAATTTGGACTCCCAGCTTGTTGGGAGAAGTGCTGAGCTTTGTTTATTACCCCTTCTCTGAAGTCTATACGCTGCCTGTGGCTGTCACACGAAAAGGCCTCGGAAGAACAGCTTTGAGAATTGCCAAATTCAAGGCCGGAGAAGGGACAAGTCAGCATTAGGCTTGACGGGCAGTTGCATCCCCTTCACACGTCGCACAAGAGGCTGTCACAGTGTGGCTGGGTGGGACGGATGGACTGAGTAAAGCTGACGTGCTGTTCTGTCCTGTCAGGCTGATGTATGTTCCCAGCGAGGAGACTGCAGTCCCCAGGAGCCACATAGCACCTCTCCTCCACCTCCACCACCACCTCCTCTTCCGTTGTCCGGCGACATGCCTTCTGAACCCAGCCTCAGGTAAGTGGCCCAGTTCGTCCATATACAAGGCTTATTGCACAAACAGAAATGTCAGTCAGCCACAGTGCACGTGCATTGAGAAATGTCAGCAAATGTAGAGAAAGAGCCGCTTGCTCATGGGACAGAAAGCACTGTTCTTTAGGCCGTAACCTGAGGAAGATGTAAGATCCCTGTGGTCATCAAACTTTTTGTTGGTGTGTGATAGATGTTAGACAAGGGCTCCATCCCATTCATTCCTACTGATGGTACTTTCTACTGACCTAAAAGAAACACGTCATAAATATTAACTTTAACAAAAAAAAGTAAATATTTCTACTTAAAACAGCTGGGCTACTCACACATGATGTCGTATTTGTTGTGGATTATTTTCAGCTGTGGGTACAGTGCAGATGTGAGTATTTACAGCCGCAGAAAGGGGTGGATATACTAGCGCACGTGTGATTAACTCAAAATAAACTGCAGTGCCCATGAAACTTGTTTCCCAGTGCAATGGTGTTGGCTTATTTATGTGTGCACAGATGGACAAGATTTATCAAACTATGGCTACCCAGGCACCAGTTGTTAGAAGGTCAACTCGTTGGTGGTTTTCATCAGCTGCCATGTATCTCTCCAGAGGCAGCAGGAAAAAGACAGACAGCAAAGCTCGCTGCTAACAATGCTGTAATCACACTGCAGCTTTAAAGTGGTTTTCTAGTTCTTAGTAGTATTAAGCTTATGGAAACAGTTGTATTATGTGTATTTTGTGTCAGATGAGTCGTCGTTTAATCATAAGGTTGGCGGTTCGATCCCCGGTTCCTCCTGTCTGCATGTGGATGTGTCCTTGAGCGAGACGCTGAACCCCAAGTATCCACTGGCTGCGTTACATCAGCCCACTGTTGCCAAAAAACGCTTAGAATGAGTGCAGAGGCCAAATTCCACAACGATTTTAGACCAAAGTTTAAGTCTTCTGTCGCTCTGGAGGCTTGAGACGGAGAATTTACGATGATCTTGGCTAGAGCTTGGAGACCACAGTTATTAGTCTAGAAATAAAGAGGCTATTTGTTGCATTATGGGAAAATGTTCTCGGCTAATGCTGTTTCAATCTAGATTTTTTAAATCAGCAAGGTACATCATAGAGTACAGCTTCAAACTGAAAGTTATAAAATAATATTTAGATCTATTCAATATCATCAAGGCTTTCATCCCCCCTCAAATCCCCATACAGCTTCTCTGAGTTCCTAAATCCTGTAATTTCCCTTCCTTCTAATCCAGCACGGAAATTTTGTCCTTTTGTCCCTGGGCCCTTCCCTCCGGCAGTGTCCAACCAGCAAGCAAACAGCCTGACTCATCATTCATCCTACCTCTAGCCCATAGTGCGCACACGCAAACCACCCACCCACCCACACATACCCATTATTCCCTCTGTCTTACACGCCGTCACTATGAAGGTGACAGAGCAGGCCTCCTGGCAGACAGCAGCATTTAGAGTGGCGGCTGCAACTGTAAGGGGACAGAGATGGATTCGGATGGACATGGCGCCGTGCTGCTGATAGATGGGTGTACACCGGGAGGGACTGAAGATGGGTTGGAAAACAGGATGTATTTACTGCTCCGTGGGTCCACACAGTCAGTCAGTTCTGTAGTCAGTGTACTTGTCGCGCCCATCGTAAAGAGAGACACACACTAATGGGCAGAAAGTGTTCTTTTTAAGTGTTGGGGCGTGATGGAAATGTCATTCATAAGTAAAGAGTAATGGGAGATTAGTAAAGTGTCACTTGTCTATATTGCATTAATTCAGTTGCATTCTTGGTGCAAGTTCAACTCTATATAAAAAAGATAAATACATTATTTACATTCATAGTTATACACCTTGTGCATAGAAATAATAAAAAAGAAGACATTAAACAAGCATTAAACTTATTCCACTTACTGTTATACCCATGTGATGCTAGCACCATGTACAACTTTCACAGGCTGCTGGTGCGATGAAAACATTAACGTGAACATGTCAAATATGTATTTGGAGATTCGACTCTCAGTTTGTCATTCAATCACACTGTCGGCCTGACAAAAGAGACTCCTCTGTCAATGAACAATGAACTGAGGACTATGAAGCGGGAATCTCAACAAGACTAAGAGTCCGGAGAGCTAGCGGCTCTGCTAGGCTGTAGCCTACTTAGCTAAATGCTAACGTCAGCGTGGCAACACACTCAACGTGGCAATGCTAATGCTGTCGTTTAGCAGATATGCAGTGTTCACCATCTTAGATTAGCGTGCTAGCATTTACTAATTAGCACAAATGAGCCAAATTTGATGGCAATAAATCCAATAATTGTTTCATATATTATATATATATTTCATATATTATATATATAGCTAAATTGGGGGACCGACCGACATTGCCATCCCTAAATATGTACCGTCTTCCTGCTGTACAATCAAAGTGGTCAAGCTGTCCAAAAAAATGTAAAATAATTATTGAAAACTTCATATCCAAATTCACTAACTTTGTAGAAGCAGTAGTTATAGCAACAGCAGGAGCGATATAGTAGAAGTAGTGATAGTACTTGCAATTTGTCATTATTATTATTATTATTAATAATAGAACCAGAGCTTTATCTCATCTAGAAGTCCAACTCCAGTTTAACAACATATCTTATGTGTGCGTGTGTGCGTGTGTGTGTGTGTGTGTGTGTGTGTGTTTGTAGCAGTAGGGAGATGCTGACAGGACAGAGGCTCTGTCAGTCGAAGTCCCACCAGGACTCGGTCCTCGCTGCCCTCAACCAGCAGAGGAAGGACGGCTTGCTGTGCGACGTCACCCTGGTGGCCGGCGAGCAGAAGTTCCACGCCCACAAAGCCGTCCTGGCGGCGTGCAGCGATTACTTCAGGGTGAGTTCTGTTCCGTGATGATGAACTCTGAAAATGTATCTATGCTTGATAAAGGAGGGTTTGTCTGTTCGATTATCCGTCTTCATGATTAAAGCGCCTCCTTTTGTTGTGCATGTGCAATGGTTTGACTGATTTAAAGATGACTGATGTGATAGAGGGGACAGTAACGTGATGTGATGGGTTGCTAGATTGTTAAAACTGCCGCAAAACCTGTCTCACCCTGCTACCTCCATTAGGACAGATTATTAATGGCGGGGCTAAAGGGTCCCACGGTGGTCAAAAATGCTGTTTCAGGCTGCCAAGAAGACAAAAGTCTTGGAGAAACTCAATTTTAAAAACTACATTTGAGACCGTGAAAACGGTGAGGTTTGCATGTACAGACGGCAAAACATTTTTCGGTCGAGATTAAAAGTGCTACAGCACAGATCACCCTTCACCATCCTGCACCTGGATGCATCCCCAGTGTTCGGCTTCAGTCCGATCATTGGAGTTAAACCGCAGAGGTATCTGTAGGTAGGCTCACGCTGTCAGACAGCCAGACAGGAGGTTTGCCGAGATGGGCCGCACAGGGAAAAGTGCACCGATGAAATTTGATTTCGGGACACCGAGCAGATCAGGAAGCAGAAAATAATCCCTCTTGAAAATGAGCGGCAGATTAAACATGTCCAAGTTGCCCAGGGATTATTCTTCCTCCTGTGTGTGTGTAGGTTATTTTTACTTCTCTCGGCAGAGAGTTGAGGGTGGGCGAGTCGCACTCCTCTCCTTCCTTTGTCCTCTTCGCTTTTGTTCTCCCTCTTTTTTTCTTCTAAAAAAGGCCGCTCTTTCATGTCCCAGCCGAGCCGAGCAACACTGTTGTTCCAGGGCACATGGATTATTAGATCAGCCTGCTACAGTAAGCAGGGGAAGTCACTCTGCTCCCCTGTTCCTCTGCAGGGGCCTAACAACATCCTCATCAGTTGTCATCTGACTCCACCGCTGGGGGTTTCATTTAGCTCATTTACTGGGGGAGATGAAGGTGCCTTGTGTCATGAATAGTGACTGTGTTTTCTCCCTCCCTCTCTCTTTGTGCCTCCTTCTTTCTCACACTCACACACACACACACACAC